ACAGACTCTACCAAAGTACAAGGCAAAATAGGGGTGATCAACACTTTTGTCTCGGAGAGAAACGAGAAGACGAATTTGGGGCGGGCGGGCAGTAACCTTACCCCCGACCCCCCAGACGCAAGGTTCGTAGACCCCCACGGGTGCGCGCCCCGCCCTCTGCCTCACCTTCCCCCCCCCCTCCATCCATACCAAATGGTAGCGGCCCGATTTGAACGAAACGGTCGGCGGCGCCTCGCCTCTCCCCCCTCCCTCCTTCCAACGCCGCGGCGGCGGGTGTGGCTTGTGGGCGGGGCGAGGCGAGGCGACGCCAAAAAGGCCCCTTCTGGGGGTGGGGGGGCGGGTGGGGTTTTTTTCCTCAGTCAACGGTCTCTTCCAGACCCCCCGGGCACCGGGAAGGGGGAGCGGGCGCCGCTTCGTTCGGTTTCGAGGGAAGTGGGTTCTGCCACCCCCTCCCCAAGGGCGCCCTTTTAGCATCCCTGTAGTGTGAGAGAGCCTTCAAAGCGGCGCGTGGGTTTATTTGGGGCCCGGGGTGTGTGTGTGTGTGTGTGGGGGGGAAATGGGTTAGGATTGGGGGGGCAGCTGGAATGTGATTTTTTTAAAAGCGCAGAATGGGGCGGCCAGCTGGGAGGTTTCCAGGCCCCACCGGGAGGTTGGCATCTGCAGCCTTGCCTAAGGCGCAGGAAACCCCTCGAACCGGTCCTGCAAAAGGGTGGGGGGGAGATCGGCGGCGCTCGAAACGGCTCCCCTCCTTTTTAATACCGCAGGTGTAACAGGTGACGCCTCCTGCCCCTTGAATAGGGGTGCCAGCCTCCAGGTGGGACCTGGGTGATCCCCCCCCCCCCGCATTACAGCCCATCTCCAGACCAGTGTTCCCTCTAAGCTGAGTTAGTGTGAGCTAGCTCACCATTAATTTGCTCCAGCTCACACATTTTTGTCTTCGTTCAGGAAGGATGGGGCTCCAGAGCACACTAATTTATGCAGCAGCCAAATCGCTCGCTCACAACTTTAATGCCAGTAGCTCACAAAGTAGAATTTTTGCTCACAAGACTCCACAGTTTAGAGGGAACATTGCTCCAGACTACAGAGATCAGTTCCCCACCTGGAGAAAACGGATGCTTTGGAGGGTGGACTCCAGTGCTCCCTCTAAGCTGGGGGTGTCTTTGTGTGAAAAGATTCTGCTGTGTGAGCTACTGGCACGAAAGTTGTGAGCGAGCGATTTGGCTACTGCATAAATTGGTTTGCTCTGGAGCCCCATCCTTCCTGAGCTGAGACAAAAATGTGTGAGCCGGAGGCTAAAACCCTGTGAGCTAGCTCAAACTAACTCAGCTTAGAGGGAACACTGATGGACTCTGTGGTATTGTACCCCACTGAGGTCCCTGTCCACCCCCAGCTCCATCCCCAAATCTCCAATAGTTTCCCAACCTGGATCTGGCAACCCTATCCCCCATCCCCGGCTGGTGGCCAGGAGGGACCGGTGCCTAAACTGTTGAGTTTCTGCCTCACAGTTTAAAAGTGGCAGGAGTAATGCTGTGGGCTGAGGTGGGGTGGAAAGCTGCCACCTTCTGGGATCGTGTCTCTTTTTGGGCATCGAGTAAGTAAGCTTTTTGTGTAATGCTTCTCTCCAGTGAAACGCAAGGAAGAATTTTGGAACTGTCACAGGTAAAATGCTCCTTTATGTGTACTGGCGCCTTCTGGGCTAATTCCCACATGGTGCCCTCCAGGAGACCCTTGGATGAATTGTTTTAAAAATCCATTGGAATTTTAATCTGCAGAGTTCTGGGAAGGAGGATGCCTGAGACTGGACAGGATCCTAATTTCTTTCTTGTGAATATTCCTTGTGTGTGTGTGTGTGTGTGTACGTACAATGTCATGTTTGTTACCTGAGTGTCCTAGGAAAGACTGTTGTTCCCTTGACATTCTTACTTTCTCACATGTAGCTCTGGTGTCCATTCAAAGTGTGGTGATGTCTGAAAGCTTTGCAGTGCTTAACGACTGTTCATCCATCAGTTAGAGAGCATTATCAAGAAGTTTCAGATTGTTGGGAGTCTTCAGATGGCCACTTTATCTGTGATGATAATTTTTCTGTATGGATACAGCTTCTGTTTAGACACCTGTATGTACACTGCCACATATGAACAATATAGATGTCACTTTACCACAAGTCCATGTTAGAACATCTGTCATTGAGCAGGACTTCCTACACATTGAAATGGACAAGTTGTCACACGTGATGGTTGATACAGGGGACAGGTCCATGCGCTTTCTACGCAAAAGTGATACAGTTCTGCGTCCTGAAAAAAAACTGACAAGCTGAAAGGGTGTTGTACAATTATTCTCACATGTGCAGAGAACTTTGCAGCCTCCATTAATGCATCAAAATGCTTGTGCTCTTGTATGATAATGAGGTGGTTCTTGGATTGTTCTGTTTGTCACCAGTAGCATGTGTGAACACAGAGGGGACAGGCACTTGTAAGAGAAGATTAGTATTACAAGTGAGGCAGTTCAGTTTACATAAAATGGTGAACCCCGGTCCTATGGGCACTGTGACGGGGGACAAAGAATGGTTAATTCTGATATAGCCACAATAGCATCTTGCGTAAGCAGGGCTTTTTGCTGGGCAGACTGCTGGTTCTAAACCCGTGATAACAGCGTGCCTGTCATCTCAGGCACATACTCTGCTGGCAGAAAACCTTAAGGATGACTAGAGTTGCCTTCATTTGCCTCTTTCTATGTTGTATCCTGACTTCGTTGCATGCTGCTTGTTGCGGTGGTGTCTTGGGTTATTTTACGTTACATGTTGTGGAATTTCACTGGTTTAGCAGTTCATGTGCTTGGTCCCGTACAAGTATTTGCTGGCACCTTGGCTCATGGATCAGGTTTCTGAACAGGTAGTCCATAAGTCACTGTTAAATTAGCAAATCCCAATAATCTGCTGTTATAACGTGCTCTTTGTTGCTGTTATCGTGCTGTGCACTCACATGTTTGACATCCCGTTCTGTTAGAAGATGAGCAGAGCTGGACCACCGCAAACCTGCCTGTGTCTTAAACTTCTTAACTTGTCTAACGAATCTGTGCCGTTGCCAGAGCCGTGTTTCTCAAATGTTTTGAACTTGGATTGCCCTTCTAAGCGTACTCTGGTTTCTGCCCCTCCTAGCCGGCTGCCAGCTCTGAGCAGTCAGAGCTCTCATGTGCATCCCTCTCCTGAACTTGAAGACTTGTGCAAGAGACCAGGCCACTATTAAAGTTTCTTTTAGTAGAAGCGTACTCCCATTCCCTTCACTGTGTTCTCATACCCAGCCTAAATTACATTCAGCTGGCTCAGTACTGGATTGATTAGAAAAGTGACAGCCCGGTACTCTCAATATCCCAACTACTCCCACCTCTGTACAAGTATCATATTGCGTGTGTATCCTTCGCTTTAGAAATATTCGGGCTTCAAGATGGGATGGGATGGAATTTAAAAGATACTCCCCTAAAATATGTAATATATATGGATCTTGGTTTTGTTAGTTATAATTCCTTGACCTGACCCCCCCCCTTTTGCTCATGGGTTATGTCACTGGAAGCCTAGACCTACTATGTGGATTAATGTTTTGCCCAATGCTTGAAAAGAAAAGAGGAGTCTTATGGCACCTGAAACGGAAGAAAAAGATTTTATTCTGGCATACGTTTTCTGATGAAGATTGCTCTATTTGCCAAACATTTATGCTAGCTAGAATACAAACTACTCATCTTTAAGGTGCCAAAAGCTTCCTGTTTGTGTTTCTTGCAACAGGCTAATGTGGCTGCCCTTCTGAAAGTGGCCTTTGTAGTTTGTTACATTCCTTATGTGTGTGTGGAGAAATGAAGGACTGTAAATAAGTAACTCTGCATTAGAGCCCGTGGAAAATTTCTGCATGCATAACAATCCTTGAAAAAGCGGAGCACTAAAATTATTCCTGTCTTCTTGTACTAAGTGAAAGTGATTGCATCCTCACTGTCTTCTCCATGCGTGCAAGACATACCACATGTATGGGCCACTTGTTCTGTTGCTTGCACAGGCAGCACTGTTTGGTGTAGTGGTTAGGTGTGCGGACTCTAATCTGGGAGAACTGGGTTTGATTCCCCACTCCTCCACATGCAGCTGCTGGTGTGACCTTGGGCAAGCCATAGTTCTGTCAGAGCTGTCCTTGAAAGGGTAGTTCTGGAAAGAGCTCTCTCAGCCCCGATCACCTCACAGGGTGTCTGTTGTGGGGAGGGGAAGGGAAAAGAGTTTGTAAGCCATTCTGAGACTCTGAGTGAAGTTGTTGTTGTTCAGTCGCACAGTCTCTTTGCGACCCCATGGACCAGATCACGCCAGATCTGAGTGAAGAGCGGGGTATAAATCCAATCTCCTCCTCCTCCTCCTCCTCCTCCTCTGCACTAAGTACATTTTTCTTGTCACCCACACATCTCTGGATGCATGCATCTGTGTCTCATTTGGCTTTGTTCCAGGATTTGCTGTGATTGATTAGCCAAACCTAATATATGATAGGTAGAGGTCCACAAAAGACAGCTTGTGTATGAGAGAGAGAAGATAAGAAGGAGAAAGATGGACACTATCTTTAATAAGGGCAAGCAAAGGAAATCAGTGGAGAAGGCTTGTCATAGCTGGCAAATTAAGACATAGTTTTGTGTTCTCTCTCTTTTTTTAAGAGTGGGGAGAGATGGTGTGTGTATATATCTTGACACCGGTTAGATACTAATGATCTTTTAAGTTATGGTATATATGTCTGTTGTGAAACAGAAAAATATTCTAAAGTCCTTCCCAGAAGCATTTCTTTTTGCTGGCTATTATGTTTAACCTCCTGGACAAAATGTACTGTTGTCAGAGGCAAGAAAAGAAACCTAATTTCCATAAGTAGTTTTTCAAACTGACTTTTTTATGATTAATACACACCCTAACCCATATCTCTGCAGGTACCTTTGGATTCTGACTTGCTGTTCTATCATATATCGATATATATCAATACTGGAAGACCATGCCGCTCCTAAGGAATAGCTTGCTGTCTTCAAATGATAGCATTGCGAGTGATATTGCAAGTCTCCATGAAATGACTTTTTCTGATGAAATCGCACCCACTGAAAAAAGTTCAACAAGCCTGATTGAGAAGACTGGCTATCAGGACTGTGTCTACCTAAATGCAGCCAACATTTTTCAAAGTATTCATAAGGAAAAACCTCAAGACAAATTACTGGTAAAGTATGGGAATGGACCCTTCCCACTGGCAACGGATTTCAAAGATGAGCGATGCCAGCGTTTGTCTTATGAACTAGCTTTCAATGCTCTAAAATGTAAGTAAAAAAAAGTACCTGTCTTCCATTTCCCCCCTGTAAGGAACTAAAATACAGTGTGTAAGAATTTTGCCTGAGAGTTTAGACCTTTATACTGTAAGCCAATCAAGGTGATATAGTGGGAGCGTGGTTGTGTCTGTTTGAAAAAGATAATTACAGTGTGGTGATTCATTTGTTTTGAATCCCTCTTGCCTTATCTCGACTCTTTAAGAGTTTGGATTCCTCTAATTAAGAATATATGCCAACACTTTATTGTAGTCTGTTTGCAGTCACTATAAGAAGGTACTTGGATGTTTTCCACCTTTCTTGCCAAAGAGACATAACATGCCAAGCTGGGCTCCCCAGTTGGCAAGGGCAGCCTGTTACCTAGGAGCAGTTGGCTCCCCAGACTTTAAACATGCTTAAGACTGCAGTTAGAGTCTAATTGAACTCAATGAAGAAGCTTACTTCCGTTCCGAGTAGGCATGTTTGCGATTGTGCTGCCTGTGTTTCCAAAGATACTTACATAGCTTCACTTCCCATTGTTAGGTTTCAAGAACACTCTTCCTTACCCAGTGACAATAGCTCTGTAGTTCTTTCTGTGTTTGTTTGCCAAAATGGTGTTGGGGACTTCTGCTTGAAAGATATGCAGTGTAATAAGTGGGAAGTAAGGAAAGCTCTTTCTATGCTCAGGCCTTAAAACTTGTGCATATTGAGCAAATGGGCATATATCTTTGTGGCATCATTATTATGAACCTGCTTTAGTGTTCACATTGATTTGAAAGCAGGGTTCCTTTAAAAGGAGCCCAAAGGATTACATTTTCTGGCAAAAAAGGTATTTCTCTAATCAGCCGTCAATGGCCAAAAGATGCATGACTTCTAAAAGTCAATTTTTTTTCTTTTAGAAGGTCAAGCATTGGGGGAAAGTACAAACTGTTCAGGCACTGTGGGACATCTAATAGGCAATGAAGGTGGGGGGGTGGTTACCTTGGCAACCGACTGAACTGAGATAAGTATGTCTGGATCAGTATGCAAAAGTGAAAAGAAGCTGTCAGAGTCCATGGAAGCTTCCTAAAATATGGTAACGGCAGCTTGTCTCACTCGGGCATGGAGGAGAAACCATTCCTGGTCATCGATGATAAGCAACGTTCATGGAATATAAAATGCTGCTTAAACAGAGGAAAATCAGTGCACATTGCTAGGGTAGACACTTTCATGAATATAAAAACTAAGCTTGTGCATTTGTTGTGCTTGATAATATACTGATCAAGAAAAGCCTTTGAGAGGCAGGATGACAATACTGTCTTTGGAGAGTATTGCGTCCTTAAGGGTAAGGAAAAGTACCCTTTGGGTGAAAATTGAAAACAGTCTGGCCAATGAGACTGCTCTGTCCTTTCTCTTGTATGCATTCCTCCCCTGATGTATGTTTCTCTCTGAACAAGATGGTATGTTTCATGGTAGTGATGATACAGCATACTGAAATTGTTACTTAAATGTGTGCTGGCTCTTGGTGTTCTTTGAAGCTCAAGGACGAATTAATAACCTGTATACAGAACATAGAATTTTCTGTATATGTTTGCTTTTGTGTAGAAGGCAGTCAGTGATGTTTTTACTGCTATGGGGGTGGTAGTATCACATAGCCTTCAGATTTTTTAAAATTAACGATACAGTACTGAAGTGCATCTTCTATCTATCACATGCTCAGGAATCCACAAGATAAGTGGGAAAAAGTTCTTTAAAGAAATTTGGCCATCTATGAATGTTTGTGATCATGGATCACTGCCTTGTCGTGGCGAGGGGGCTTGTGTAGTTCAGTGAAGCTGTGGGCTATGCCGTGAAGGGCCACCCAAGACGGACAGGCCACAGCAGAGAACTCAGACCAAGCGTGATCCACCTGGAGAAGGTAATGGCAACCCACTCCAGTATGTTTGCCAAGAAAACCCCATGGACGGTATCAAAAGGCTAAAAGATATGACGCCGGAAGATGAGCCCCTCAGGTCGGAAGGTGTCCAATATGCTACTGAGGAAGAGCAGAGGGCAAGTACAAGTAATTCCAGAAAGAGTGAAGCGGCTGGGCCAAAGCCGAAAGGACGCTCAGTTGTGGAGGTGTCTGATGGTGAAAGGAAAGTCCGATGCTGCAAAGAACAATACTGCATAGGAACCTGGAATGTAAGATCTATGAATCAAGGCAAGCTTGACGTGGTCAAAAATGAAATGGCAAGACTGAACATCGATATCTTAGGAATCAGTGAACTAAAGTGGACAGGAATGGGCGAATTTAACTCAGAAGACCATTATATCTACTACTGTGGCCAAGAATCTCGTAGAAAAAATGGTGTGGCCTTTATAGTCAACAAGAGAGTACAAAAATCAGTATTGGGATACAATCTCAAAAATGACAGAATGATCTCAGTCCGATTCCAAGGCACACCATTCAACATCACAGTAATCCAAGTCTATGCCCCAACCACTGATGCAGAAGAGGCTGAAGTGGACCGGTTCTATGAAGACCTACAACACCTCCTAGAACTAACACCAAAAAATGATGTCCTCATCATCATAGGGGACTGGAATGCTAAAGTAGGAAGTCAAAAGGTAACTGGAATAACAGACAAGTTTGGCCTTGGAAAGCAAAATGAAGCAGGGCAAAGGTTAACAGAGTTTTGTCAAGAGAACACACTGGTCATAGCGAACACCCTTTTCCAACAACCTAAGAGACGACTCTACACATGGACATCACCGGATGGGCAACACCGAAATCAGATTGACTATATAATTTGCAGTCAAAGATGGAGAAGCTCTATCCAGTCAGTAAAAACAAGACCTGGAGCTGACTGTGGTTCAGATCATGAGCTACTCATTGCAAAATTCAGACTTAAACTGAAGAAAATTGGGAAAACCACGAGGCCATTCAGGTTTGACCTAGATCGCATCCCTGATGAATATACAGTAGAGGTGAAGAATAGATTCAAGGGTCTGGATTTGATAGATAGAGTGCCTGAAGAACTATGGACGGAGGTTCGTGACATTGTACAGGAGGCAGCAATCACCACCATCCCAAAGAAAAAGAAATGCAAGAAAGCAAAGTGGCTTTCTGATGAGGCTTTACAAATAGCAGAGGAAAGAAGGAAAGCGAAAGGCAAAGGCGAAAAGGAAAGATTTACCCAACTGAATGCAGATTTCCAGAGAACAGCAAGGAGAGATAAGGAGGCCTTCCTGAATGAACAGTGCAAAGTAATAGAAGAAAACAATAGAATGGGAAGGACTAGAGATCTCTTCAAGAAAATTGGAGAAATCAAGGGAGCGTTCCATGCAAAGCTGGCCATGATAAAGGACAAAAACGGTAGGGACCTAACAGAAGCAGAAGAGATTAGGAAAAGATGGCAAGAATACACAGAAGAACTATACAAGAAAGACCTCGATGTCCTTGACAACCACGACGGTATAATCACTGACCTCGAGCCAGACATCCTGGAATGTGAAGTTAAATGGGCCTTAGAAAGCATTACTAACAACAAAGCTAGTGGAGGTGATGGTATCCCAGCTGAGCTATTCAAAGTCTTAGAAGAGGATGCTGTTAAAGTTCTGCACTCCATTTGCCAGCAAATTTGGAAAACGCAACAGTGGCCACAGGATTGGAAAAGATCAGTATACATTCCAATCCCAAAGAAGGGCAATGCCAAGGAATGTTCAAACTATCGCACAATTGCACTCATATCACACGCTAGCAAGGTCATGCTCAAGATCCTACAAGCTAGGCTTCAACAGTACGTGGATAGAGAACTACCAGAAGTACAAGCTGGGTTTCGAAGAGGTAGAGGAACGAGAGATCATATTGCCAACATTCGCTGGATTATGGAGAAAGCAAGAGAGTACCAGAAAAATATCTACTTCTGCTTCATTGACTATGCTAAAGCCTTTGACTGTGTGGATCACAACAAACTATGGCAGGTCCTTAAAGAGATGGGAGTACCAGACCACCTCACATGTCTCTTGAGAAACCTGTATAAGGGCCAAGAAGCGACAGTTAGAACCGGATACGGAACAACTGATTGGTTCAGCATAGGAAAAGGAGTACGACAAGGATGTATACTGTCACCTTGCTTATTTAATATATATGCAGAGTACATCATGCGAAATGCTGGCCTGGATGAATCACAAGCGGGAATTAAGATTGCTGGGGAAAAGATCAACAACCTCAGATATGCAGATGATACCACTCTAATGGCTGAAAGTGAAGAGGATCTAAAGAACCTCTTGCTCAGAGTAAAAGAGGAGAGCGCAAAAGTGGGCTTGAAGCTCAACATCAAAAAAACTAAGATCATGGCATCCGGCCCCATGACTCCTTGGCAAATAGAAGGGGAAGTCGTGGAAGTAGTGACAGACTTCACGTTCCTGGGATCCCAGATCACCGCAGACTGTGACAGCAGTCATGAAATTAAAAGACGCCTGCTCCTTGGGAGGAAAGCGATGGCGAACCTAAACAGCATGATAAAAAGTAGAGACATCACCCTGCCAACAAAAGTCCGCATGGTCAAAGCAATGGTATTCCCAGTAGTCATGTATGGCTGCGAGAGTTGGACTATAAGGAAGGCCGAGCGCAGAAGAATAGATTCTTTTGAACTATGGTGCTGGAGAAGACTCTTGAGAGTCCCTTGGACTGCAAGAAGAACAAATCAGTCAATCCTCAAAGAAATCAACCCTGACTGTTCCCTGGAAGGCCAGATAATGAAACTGAAGCTAAAATACTTTGGCCACCAAATGAGAAGGGAGCACTCTCTGGAGAAGACCCTGATGCTGGGAAAGATTGAAGGTCAAAGAAGACGGGGACGGCAAAGGATGAGATGGTTAGACAGTGTCATCGATGCAACGAACATGAAGTTGAGCAAACTTCAGAGGATGGCGGAAGACCGGAAGGCCTGGAGGGAGCTGGTCCATGGGGTCGCAAAGAGTCGGACTCGACTGTGCGACTGAACAACAACAACAAATAATATCCTGAAAAATAAAAATTGTTTTTTTTAAAAAAAAAAGAAATTTGGCCATCTAGAGTTCTTAGATTCCATATAAAAGAGGACTCTTGTGCATTTAATAGTGGCATGGAAGGGGGTACTTGCATAATTTCACAGAAGACACAGCTTGTGCTGTTAGTGCAGCTCTATGACAGAAGAAGCCAAGCAGCTGCTAAAATGTCTCAGTTCATACATTGGGTTACTTGCCCCATGTTGAATCCAGCTGTGCCAAAGTTCAAATGTGACATCTGCTGTGTTTGTTTTTTGGGTTTTTGACAGACATAAAAAACAGTAAACCCAATTTCTTGTGCTTCTGAAAAACACTGAGTATGTTCTGCTATAATATAGTCCTTCATCTCGTGAACCAACGTAGAAAAACTCAAAAATGTGATAGATCAAAATGGGTATCCTTGTTAGTCTGTCTGAAGCAGTAGAAAAGAGCAAGAGTCCAGCAGCGCCTTAAAGACTACCAACATTTGTGACAGGGCATGACCGTTCGTGAGTCACTGCTCACGTTACTGCTACACATTTTGTTCGTCTTTAAGGCGCTACTGGACTCTTGCTCTTTTGTACTGTTAAAGATGTGATGAGTGCTTGCTTCTACAGAAACCAATTGAGAGATTTTACACAATAGCGTGGAATGCAGGGGGGCTGTTCCTTGAATATTAGTAACTAGCAGTAAAGCCCGTTGTGAAAGCAATACAACGGGATCTAGAAAGAGGCTCTGGGGCAGTGCTCTGGCTTTGGGCAAACAGTGTCAATTTGCTGTGGTGACCTCAGCAGGGTATAATGACAGAGTCCACTGTTTTCTCCAGAGGAACTGATCTCTGCTACCTGAAGAGCAGTTGTAATTGTGAGTAATCTGTAGCCCTCACCTGGAGATTTGCAACAATTGTTACCCAGGACGAAATGGCTGGTTTGGAGGGTGGAGTCTATGGCATTCTACCTGTCTGAGGTCCCACCCCTCTGCAAATCCCACCCTCTCCAGGCTCCACCCCTCAAATCCCCAGGAATTTGTCAGCATGTAGTTGGCAACCCCATCTCCTTCCCAGCTAGCCATCAACCTACCATTATCTGCCCCTTTGACTTCAGCTGACTTCTGCCCTCCCTTCTGCAGAGCAGTTGTAATACTGAGTGCTCTCCAGCCCTCACCTGGAGATTGGCAACAATGGTTCCCTATGTGGGACTGACTGGTTTGGAGGGTGGAGTCTATGGCAGTGTACCTGTCTGAGGTCCCACCCCTCCTCAAACCTCACCCTCTTCAGGCTCCATCCCTCAAGTCTCCAGGAATTTCCCATCTGGAGTTGGCAACCCTATCAGGACTGGCCCCAATGTGTTTTCTCCCAAAGGCCAAAGTAGGTGACAGGACCAAGCTTAGTTGCCTACCAACAGGCACTGAGGGGAATGTAGGGTTGCCAGCTCTAAGGAGGGAAATACCTGGAGGTTTTGGGGGTGGATTCTGTAGAGGGACGGGCAACGGAGGCATCGGCCTTCCGTCCCCCACCTCGCCCCCCCAATCTCGGCCCGGGCGACCGTGGCTCCCGCCATCGGCTGGCCAACTCCAGACCCCCCCGCAGCCACTCCAGCCAGGCGA